AAAAAAATATTAAAAATCTGTTAAAAATCCTGGGATTTGTCATTAAAAAAAAAAGAAAAAAATATTAAAAATCTGTTAAAAATCCTGGGATTTGTCATTAAAAAAAAAAGAAAAAAAAAATTAAAAATCTGTTAAAAATCCTGGGATTTGTCATTAAAAAAAAAAGAAAAAAAATCCATTAAAAATCTTAAAAAATTCTGAGATTTGCCCCAAAACCTCACCCAAATTTTGTTTAAAATCCCAGAATTCGCCCCCAAAAAAATTCCCAAAAAATCCCCATGATCCCAAATTCCTGGTATTTCCCAGGTGGTTTTTCCAAAACGATTCCCTAAAAAATAAAATTAAAAAAAAAATCTCAAATGTATCCTAAAAATATCCAGAAAATTACTAAAAATTCCCTAAATCCTCCCAAAAGAAATCCCCACAAAATTTAAAAAAAAAAATCCCATAAAAATATTAAAAAAAAAATTCCCAAAAATTCCCTGGAATCTCTCCTAAAACTCCACAGAATTCCAAAATAATTCTGGAAAAATTTAAAAAAAAAAAAAAAATCCCAAATTCCTGGAAAAACGCCTCAAAAAATGGGGAAAAAAAGCCGCAAAAAATTTTGAAAAATTGGGAAAAATCCCCAAAAATTCTAAAAAAAATCTGAAAAAAATCCCCCAAAAATCTGAAAAAATTCCAGAAGCCTCTCAGTCATTCCCTGCATCCCAAATTCCATTTTTTTTCTCATTTTTTCCATTTTTTTCCCGTTTTTTTCCCATTTCCAGGTGTCAGGGCTGAAGGTTGAGGAGCTGCAGGTGAGGCAGGACAGCCATGGGGGCAAAAAATCTCCCAAAAAATTCCAAAAAATTCCCTGAAATCTTCCTAAAACCCCTTTTAAAATTCCCAAATTATTTTTTAAAAGTAAAAAAAAAAAAAAGAATCCCAAATACCTGGAAAAATGCCTGAAAAAATTGGGGAAAAAAAGCCACAAAAACTCTCGAAAAATCGAAAAAAATCCCTAAAAAATTCTGAAAGAAATCTGAAAAAAATCCTTAAAAATTCCCCAAAATTCCCAAAAACTCCCTAAACCTCTCTTAAAATTCCAAAATAATTCTGGAGAAGTGAAAAAAAAATTCCAAAATACCTGGAAAAATGCCTCAAAACTTAAGGATAAAAGCCGCAAAAACGCTCGAAAAATCGGAAAAAATCCTTAAAAAATTCTAAAAAAAATCGGAAAAAAATCCCCAAAAAATTCCCAAAAAATTCCTGAGCATTCCCAGGTGTTCCCTGCATCCCAAATTCCCATTTTTCCCGTTTTTCCCTGTTTTTTGGCAGGTGTCAGGGCTGAAGGGCGAGGAGGTGCGGGTGCGGCAGGACAGCGTGGCGCGGCTCCTGGCAGACACTCGGCCATGGGGCCAAAAAAATCCCTAAAAATCCCCCAAAATTCCCCAAATTTCACTGAAATCTCCATAAACTCCTCCTAAAATTCCAAAATAATTCTGGAAGAATGAAAAAAAAAAAAATTTTACAAATACCTGGAAAAATGCCTCAAAAATTAAGGATAAAAGCCGCAAAAACGCTCGAAAAATCGGAAAAAATCCCCAAAAAATTCTAAAAAAAATCTGAAAAAAATCTGGAAAAATTCCCAAAAAATTCCTGAGCATTCCCAGGTGTTCCCTGCATCCCAAATTCCCATTTTTTCCCATTTTTCCCTGTTTTTTTTGGCAGGTGTCAGGGCTGAAGGGCGAGGAGGTGCGGGTGCGGCAGGACAGCGTGGCGCGGCTCCTGGCAGACATGCAGGCCATGAGGGGCAAGCAGGACAGCCTGGACTCGAGGCTGCTGGCCATGAAACAGTAAGGAAAAAACAAAAATAAAAATCCTGGAAAATCATTGGGAAAAACCTGGGAAAACTGTGGGAAGGTCCTGGGAAAATCCCAGAAAAATCCTGAGAAAATCTGGAAAAATCCCAGAAAAAAATCCTGGGAAAATCTGGAAATATCCTGGGAAAATCCCAGAAAAAATCCTG